AAAAAATGAGAATTTCGAAATTTTATAACAGACTTTCTTTGACTGAACGTGCCCGTTCAATGTACAAACACTGTTATAAGAAAGACACAATGAGAAAATTGAAAATACGATGCCACATTAATCTAATGTAATCTATTTATGAATTAGAGCGGTAAGGGGAGAGATTTCGTTGTGTACCCAAAAATTTTTTCTTTTTATTACAGTAAAAATTGACCAAGTTAGGTCAAAAAGTCCTGTGATGTCGCTATGCCCCACGATTACCGTCAACACGGTAATTTTCGTAGGGACGCAATCACGATAAAAATTACAGTTTTTATTTCTCTCGGTGTACGTATGTTTGCGCCCGTGATGAAAAAAATTTTTACACCAAAACTGCACTTTGCGCCTTACAGGGCCTAACATCCGGCCGTTTGCACTTGAGCCCATCTGATTTAAATCTTGTAGTTAAGCCCATTTTAACTATTTATTCTTTACTGCACTGCAGCCCAGATAATGGTTACACGAGGCTAACTAAAATTCTGAAAGCTGAGTTTCAAGTAAAAACAGTGCCTTATTTCATTGAAGAGCCATTGGAACCAAAAAAAGATGTGCAAAATATTAGGTTTAATACTTTATTATTGAAGTTCTACTAGCTCAAGATTCTGTTGAAGTACTTGCAAAGATTGGCGCTTTTTCTACGTATTTAGGCAAAACATATGTAGAAGCATCCAAGAAAAGACATAGTAAAGAGAAAATTGATTTGTTGACACTTGTGAAGGGCGTTTTTTGTATCACAGAAATCTAATGTAAGGTACATAATGTGAATACATATTTATTGACATATAACACATCAAGTTTAAATTTATTAACGTATAACATTTATTATAGCAGGGGACTGTTACAGTTATTTTAGAACTTGTGAAAAAGTGTAGACAAATAAAGAGATAATTTTTACTGTTACTACACCAAATTCATCTAGATAGTTTTATCTTTAGGTGGACTCGACAGCAACCTTTTTTATCATTCCTATCAATGGATAGGCTCAATTGCATATGGCCCACATCTACACCACAAGCACTTCGTTACAGCTTTGCGTTTGGTATTTGCAGGTACTTACATGGAAGAGCCTACTCATAACTCATATTCTAAGGAAATTCATGAACGCAAATCAGTGTAGGCAGCTATAGTGTATAGTCTATATATATAGGCTGAGCGGAGCGCGCGGTGGCTCGGTCGGCCAGGTCGTGGATTGGCACGCGGGAGATCGTGGTTCGATTCCCGGCCAGTGCGACTTTTCGGGCAAGTACCTCTGTGTCTTTCACATGTGCTTTTTCATCACGCAATGCTCCTCGAGGAGTGTTTAGGCGACCTCCTCGCAGCAAAATTGCCTAATTTCCCCCTACCCCCCCTCCCAGTATTGTGAGGCCTCCCATCCCTCTTCCCTTCGTTTTATTAAGAGCTAAGTGCCCTGAGGTAGTGTCCTTTATAGGAGCCGGACGTAAAGCACTATAATATAAAAATATATATTTTTTTTTTTATATTATAGTGCTCTACGTCCGGCTCCTTTAATAAGGGCACTAC